AAAAATACATTGTAAATTGCTGGTTTACACTAGCACCCTAACCTTTAAATTTAAAAGTAAAATTTGTTTTTAAAAAGCTGGCTTGAGTTGTATCACAATTCTAGGTGTGAAATCATACCCCCCATCCCCCCACTCCCCCCACCTACTGTTAATGTACATAATCTCATAAAAGTTCATTGCTCCCAGTGCAGTCGGAGAAAATGATGCACATAACAAATGCAATCTAAGAATAAAGCCAAACAAAAAGGGTATTGAGCCTCTTCTTTTATCTAGAGATACCTGCACCCGCCTGCCGCAGGGTGCAAGGATTGATGCTGGAGAAAGGTAAACAGTACAGAGGGACAGGGGTAACCCTCTTTCTAATCTAGAGAACAGCATTGATCTTGCTGGCAGAGAAAGCAGATCTTTGGCGATCTTAGCCCCGGAGTTCCATAGGGGAGAGAGTTAGCACGAAGCATCTGATCAGAAGAGTTGAATGGAAATATATTTGCCCCTGGCAAATTTCATGTATACTTAGATTAACAATAATTGGTCCAACACTAATGGTTTGTATCGTTATAATGTAAATATATTATGTTTGCAACAATGCTTTGTTATTCTACTCAATCTTGGCTTTTAAATACTGAATTCTTTTTATGTCTATATAATACATTAGACAAAAGTGCGAAAGGGTTAAAAAAACAGGAATGTAATATTAAAAATAACAATTTTAACATATTTTAAAGTTTCTTTTGAATTTAAAAATCTTAACTTCACCTCCTATCCCATCCTAGCCCCAGCGCTATGCCCCATTTGCAGCCTGCGGCACTGCAATGGGCCTAACCTTTGGGAAGTTGCCGCTTGGGAAATATTTTTGAGAAAGTATACCTTTCTTTACTACATTAGACAAAAGTGCGAAAGGGTTAAAAAAATAAGAGGAATGTAATATTAAAAATAACAATTTTAACATATTCTAAAGTTTATTTTGAATTTATAAATCTTAACTTTAGAGTAAGTGCTCTGGGTGTTATCACGTAATGAAGAAAATTTAAGTTTTGATTAGTTTTTAAACTGTGTCAACTCAACTTAGTTTACACAAACTAGAGTTTTTATCAAGAAGTTTTCAATGTAATTTTGATCAAGATTAAGAAGTGTCAAAACTTTGAAGATGATAAGTAAAACCATGCATAGTTTCCCAGAAAGAGTGAGATTTCAGAAACAACTTTATAGAATGTATTATTTAATTTTTTCTTACCAAAGTGTAAAGGAATTTAGCAAAATACTTAAATTTTCTAATCCCTGTGTCTTTGCAGGCTGATAGTGTAAACCTTGGATTTTTTCCAATAATATCTAAAATATTTATTGCTTACATTGAAAAATCTTTAAAAAAAGAGACCGTGCACATTTTTGAACATTCAGCCTAGTTTTGAAGTGTAAAGCTGCATTTTAATGCAACATTTTTCTTGACGACCCGTCCCCCAAAATTATGGTGGATATTGTAAAATATATGTTTTCCATTTGACTGATTCCAGTAAAAGTTTTCAAAATTAAAATATCTCTTTTTAGCTTGCTTTAGTTAATTTTGCACTCTAACAGAGGTAGATAGAAAGATTTACATTGACTTTAATACAGAGTTACCCTTAAACGATAAGACTTAGATACCACTGAGCAGAATTTATGCAGTATGTTTCCTGATATTCATGATTCCTTGGAAATTTAATCTTTCATTGTCAATTTCAAACCAATGAACATGATCTTATCGGCTCTAAATGTCACACAGGGGTACAAGTGTAGCTATCAAACAAGCTCTTAATGGATCAATGCCATATACCAAGAAACGATCTCAGCTCGTATGTTTCAAAGAGGAAAAAATTACTCTTAACACTGTAATCAAAGCTGAGTCTCTGTATCAACTAATCTTTTTTATATATCTTATGTTACAAGTTAATGTGAATCAACGTAATTACAAGTTCTATGTTGATATATATACAGAGTTGTTTGTGTCCCTAAACTCCCTAAAGGGTCCTGAGATAAATATATTGAGCATTGCTAACCCTCCCCCTCCTCCCACCTCCTACCACCTCCTGAACAGGCCTGAGATTGTTATAATAAGTGTATCAAAAAACCCTCTTCTCTAGTTTGATACCTCAAGCTAAGTTTAACTTCTTTGATTTGGTTTCTAACTTCGTTCTAAACATTGACAATATTATACATGATATTGAAAATACATTTTATAAACATTTTGAACTTTTTATAAAAAATATGGGAAAAGATTGCCATAAGAATTATTTATTCCCTTTTTATAATTAAAAAATAATTTTCCTCCAAAAATAAGCAACTAGCTGTTTTTTAAAGCTAGTCTTGTATAAATACTGAAAAAGGTGATTAAACAATTAAAAAGCCGTGATGTATGATTAAATGGTAGAATATGCATCACAGGCAATAAATATTAAACAATGTGGTAAACAGTGTTTGTTTTGTATAAAAACATTTCTTAGTTAGTTGTAATTTAAATACTAGAGGGACCTCCAATTAGAGTATTACAGTAAGGACAGAACAGTAAATAAATCTGTTGTAAAGACAATGGTAGCCTAGAAAAAGCATGAACCTTATTATAAAGAAAAATACTTGAAGGACTTCCAATTAGATCGTTTTCCTTTTTTTAAAACGATCGTTTCGTTTTGAAAACGACCGACGAAAAAATAAAAAACTAAAAAAGAACGATTTTTAAAGTTTTTCGGTTTTTTTTTAACGATCTTTCAACGAAGACCCTTCATTAACGATCGTTAACATTGACTCTTCATAATCTTTTTCAGAAAAGTCCAGAACTCATATTCAATATTTCAGATTTTTTTCAAAAACGATAGTTAACAATCTCTTTTTAAAAAAATCGTATAAAAACGATTGCTTATCATTTTTATAAAAACAATCGTTTTCAAAACGATCGTTATTCCTTTTCTAAAAGTTCAAACGAGTGGGTCATTTCAAAAACGATCGTTTTTGAAAACGATCAAAAAACTATACAAAAAACTATCGTTAAAGGATCGAATTCAAAAACAATAAACAACCCTATCTGTGATAAACTAACAAATAAAAACATATTTGACTATATTTAATGTTGCAAGACTTGGAGTAGAAATCTCTTAGAAGAAAAATTAAAAACAATATTCAAACGTACCCACTTTCTTCAACATAATTTAACATTATAATTGTTATTACGTCATTGTTAAGCTTGTTGGATAATAAGTAACTAATAACTTTAATCATGAGCTGAACCTTGTTATTACAATGATTATATAGAATATGAATTATTATTTTTCTGTATTATTGCAATATATATAATTTACCAAGAGAATAAATCACAAGACAATTAATAGTGTTTATACTTTTATACTTATTATACATCCTTAGTTATATGCATTTTAATCCTAATTCTGGTAAAGGCGTGGGGGGGGGGGAGGTTCTCCACAACCCCTATGGATTTTATTCAAAAACTTTTAAACAACTTACAGTTGAGCCTTAAAAGTTCTTTATTTTCTAACTTTATAACTAAGAACAATTTTCTCACTACCCTAAGGAAATAAGTAAGTGTGTAAGTTATTTATTTTAAAAGCATAACAAAAAATACAAAATAAATAGATGAAATATTTAGAAACATCCAAAAATCGGAATTCCTGGGAATATTTTTAAAACAAGAAATTACATATTATATTTAAGTTACATATCAAATATAATTGGTAAATTTTAATCATTTTTTGATAAACTCACAGCTAGGGATTGCTGTTTTTCCCACTTAATTTAAAAACGATTGTTTCGTTTTGAAAATGGCAAAAAAATAACGTAATGATCGTTTAAAAAAAAGTCATTTTTCGTTTTTTAAAAACGGTCGTTTATAAAAACGATATTTTTGAAAACGACCCTTTATTATTGAGACTGCTAATGAAGACCCTTTGTTAACAATCGTTAACGACCATTTCGTTTTTGAAAGCTCAAAAGGAGTGGTTCCTTTTCAAAAACAATCCCCTTTTTTCTAAAACCAAACGATCGTTTAAAGAAAAAAAACGAAACAAAAACAATCGTTATTTCGATATTTTTAAAAAACTTTAACAACCTTACTCACAAAACAAAACCAAAAACATATTGATAAAGATTAAATCACTACCTTTACAATAAATGAAAAAAACAAACAATATTTATTCTTATAAATTATTTTTTATTTGACTGTTTTCAACATCAGTAAATCATTTAATTTTTGTTTAAACCTGCAATTTGCAATATTGTTAAGACAGTAAAATTTATGGGAAAAGGAAAAAATGTGATTTCAGGAATTCTCTGAATTTTACAATTTATTAAACTTTTTACTATAGTCAAGAAAAAACACAATTCTTTTATTATTAATCAAAAACCCTAGCTAAACTTTGTTATAATTGATTAACCCTGTAATATAAAAGTTCTCCCAATTGTTTAGATAATTATATTATTGATATGGTTCAAGCTGCACTTTTTAATCGAAAAATGTAATTATAACAAATTCCTTAATTTTTTTTTGCAGCATAAAACCGCAAGTCACTTTTATAAACAGAAAAACCATAATTGAGACTTATGAATGTTCAAAGTTAACCCTATCTCTGCTGGGGTATTTGAAAACCAGGATATGCTGGGGGGGGGGTCAATTTGACCCCCCCCC